ACACTGTTGATGGGTGCAGGCTGCCACTCCCAGCGCAATCGCTTATTGCGGTTGTCGAAGCTCCACCACCGTCGACATCTCTGAATTACCTACCGCTTGAGGTTTGTTTGTACGTTGGGGGGTGGGGAGGTAGTGCCTTGGGGGGGCCTACTACTACTACTACTGCTACTACTGCTACTACTACTACTACTACTACTACTTCTACACGACGACGACCCCACCACCGCCGCCGCCGCGGCCACCACCTGTAAAATTCAATATACGCAATCTATACAATCAGCCTAATCACAATACAGTCTGATCAATCAATCGCCCTCCACAGCTTACAGCAAGCTTTATCAATCCTTTGTGCACTCACAGTGACAGCAATCCAGTCTTGAGCCAAACACCATTTGGTGTCATTCAGTATGCTCACCATGTGGCATATAGTCCAAGTCATTGTGGGAACAGTGTCATCTAACACAGTCCCTTGAATCAGACCTTCAGTCATGATTCACACTTTGATCTATAATGTCAACATTCTTCATTGATAATGTTGACCAATCATCTCAAAAATCACGTCAATCCAAAACCTCAAGAACATCATTTAAATCAATCAACTCACAAACAACATGTGGAAGCAGTGGCTCAATCCTTCATTTGTGCTACACACTGCATGCACTCACAATCTGCAATCCTGCGCTGTACAAGACTCTAGGCGAAAGCAATCAGTCTCATTTGCAATCAGAGGAAACATTCAAGCCAGCAAGCCAGGGCAGTCACGGTAACATGGATACCGGAATCAGTCCTGCATTCCAAAACTATGGAGTTTGTTCCAGGTAGGGCACTCTCATGTCTCATTGCAGCTTCAGCTAAAGCCAAAATGGCTTGTAGCCATTTTGGCTCAAGGCTTCGGAAAGCGAGAAAAGTGATAGACTTCGTGGCAATGTCTGAGCAAGACTCTGGTATGGCTACTCGTGTGAATGAGAAGTTGGTGCCAGCTGGTGTAGATGAAGCTTCTCCCTCCAAAAGCTCGCCAAAGAGTTCTAGTTGAGTGCGATATTGTTGCAACGATTCAGCAGGCAGTGGCGTCGCCTGTCAGTGCGCATCCGGCCCGGTCTAAGACCCTACAGCTCCTACAGGAAGGTCAAATGCAGCAAGGGCAGAAATTGAGGGATATTGAGGCTGCTCAGGCTCAGACTTCATCATCACTTGTTGACATGCAAGAGGCCCACACCAAAAGGATGGATAGCTTGCAGGCTGAGATTACACAGCTGGAAAAGAGTGCTGACGGCTCCAGACGTACTTCCGCTACCGGGCAAACGCCCAGGGCCGGCTTGCCGCTTTGATGCGGCGCGTTGCCAGGATTGTCCCTTGGCTGTGTTTGCCATACGAAGTTGCAAGTTGCAAGGGCTTGGGTTACTGGTATATGCTCTTGGTTTGAGGGGCCTGGAGAAGGAATGTTCGGAACAAGAGAATAATGTGTTGGGGCTGGAGAAACCTGGTTTGATGCAATCGATCTTCTAACAGGGACTGGTACATCGTCAAGATGGCTGTACTCAGAGTGCATTAGTTACAGGATCTCGAGGCTCAAACCCCGAAACGACAACCTCCACTCCTTTTCATATTGGTGGCCAAAACCGAAACCAGGAGATGTTGGTCGCGAAGCCCTGCACCATAGAATGGATTTTTGTTGCCGAACCCTAAACCTTAAAGGAAATGTTGGTTGCCGATGGTAGTTGCCAAACCTTAAACTCTAAGAGGAGATATTGGTTGCCAAACCCTAGAAGCAAATGTTGGTTGCCAAACCTTAAACCCAAAAACACTCCTTCTGCAGTGCCGACAATCGACTCGTCGGCCTCAGTGTCTTTGCCTAGCCATATGCCAGTGAACCATTGAGGCGCAGCCCTTGGCACTTTGACACTGCTCTTCACACACTTGGCATCAACAATCCCACCAACATGCGCAATGGACCATAGTAGTCCTTGCCCCACCCCTCGCGTAGGCAGTCTTTGCCATCATCGCTAAGTAGCGGCTAAGAAGCCATTAGGCGCATTTCACCGACCAAACGAACAGTGGTGACTCACTCGAAACACTCATGCCTGGCGCAGTCTCAATCTGCGACAAAACGCACACAATTGTCCACGCAAGGTGCGCTGCGTTTGGGCAGCGGATCCCATGATCATTGATTGAGAGTTCCCTTCTGGGGCAGCTTTCAGTGACAGTCCGCCTTGGCCTGAGCACACTTGATTCGCGTCGCTTTGGCCTTTGTCATATTATTTGTCATACTGAACCACTCCGAAAGTGCGACCCCGTTCAAAGATGAACTTCTTCAGTCCAGCTGCGGCGTAACTTTCACTGCTGGAAAGAGTCTCTTTCGACGGCAACATGCAAAGACATTCCATAACCAGTCTGTATGTCCGTGGCGTTTAAATTTGTTCTCTGCGCCAAGTCATTTTCAGTCGACGCAAAGGAGAAGTCAGTCTGAGTCACTGGTTGACGATCATTCTTAGCGAGTTGCCGCAGACTGCCGTCCTCTCGGTTTGACGCAGTGCGGAGACCACGATCTGAAGGGCAGGTGCGCCAATTCATGGAGACGCCTCTCACTCTCAGTGGGCCCTCCGGGAGCTTTCAGCATTCGAGGCTTGATCGCATTCCTGTCGTCAGTGACTTGCCAATCTCATCATGAGCTTGGCGGTCCAGTGGCGCAAACAGAGTGTATCCACGCCATTGATATCCCAGACTCATTCTTAGGTTCTCACACTCCTTGATTGAGCCATCTGGCTGCACTTCATCAGTCCAGATGTCCTGAAAGCCAGTATCGATCTGCCCCAACATTTCACTCAACAATCCATCAACAAGAGACGGTGCGTCATGCGGATGAAGCAGTTGTTCCGTTGTTTCATGATGCAGTCGAATCCAATATCTGGGCAACAGTAGCCAACGGTCTTCAGTCCTTTGTTGGCCAGTCATCCAAATACAAAGGCTTCAGCAACAACTCCTGCATTGGAATACCATGATAACTTCATTGACCTCAGTTGAGACTCAATCTCAGACTCCGCAATGTTTCTATTTGGAACAGTTTTCCTAGATACAGTGGATTTATCCTGAGGGTTGCATTGTCAGATTCCCTGACAATTTGCTGTTGCTTGGGCTCTTGCTTGCCAGTGTGCCTGACATTTGGCTTGTGCGCCAGTGGAAATGAAATCAGTCACTCTGGCATTCTGCAACGCCAGAAAATTCTTGCCACGCAATGTAACATTCGACCCATCACCATACTCCTTGTAGGTGGTTCTTTCTATCCTTGGGTCAGACATTTTTTGCGCCATGTCTTCGCATGCCGAATCAATCTCAAATTAGGCTCATCCAACGTCTATTGTCTATTCATGCACTGGGCCATTGCCAACCTTTCCAGCTTTGGCAGCGTTAGCTGCTTCAATCAACATGCCAATTTCTGCAAGTGATCAATCGACGGATCAAAACAATCACAAACGCCAGACAACTTCAATGCTGACATGTCTTGTTCCAACCTGCCAACAAATCAGGCAAGCAGTCTGTGGCAAGTTTAGATGCATCAGCAGCATTGCATGGATAGACAGTCGGTGTCAAGTACACCAATGGTCCTTGACGAGCAAGCAATCGGTACAGGATTCTCATCAGGATCAGTCAATGCCATGTCATCCTTTGACATGACAGTCCAGAAATCCTGCAATAGGAACCTCACTGCACGTACCAGTGGACGGGATTCCTCGACACACATAAAACTGAACAGTCAGGGAGTGACCATTCCCACAATCAAGTCGGACAATCCTTCGACCAAGCACTTCCAGTGTCTTTCTAGACAAATCTTCAACAGTGGGCATTCCTCCTTCAGAGGCACAGTTGGATAGTCAGATGCAAACCATTCTGGACAACAACTAGCACAAGCTCCACTGTCAAACAAAATCCATGAACAATCTGTCAGTCCAGCTTGCGTGTGGAACACACTCAACTTGTCAGCAACAATGTCCAGTGGCTGCTGCAGTGCCATTCTGGATATTAGACAATGATGGCAACTCATCAGGCGTAACAGTCCCTGGGCCCAATGTTGCAACTAGTAAACATGCTCTAACAAACAAGTTTGTCAACAATCCAGGCTTGGCACCACGCACAGTCCTGACGCGCTGTCCAGTCGTCACTGAACCAGATCCAGGATCATTCTGAGAAGCGCTTGAAGCAACAATCTCAGGACTAGGACTAGGATCAGTAACTAGGGCGGCGGCATTCCGCTGAGCACTTTGTTGCTGAATCTGCTGACCACTCTGTTGACACCGCCGCCGCGGCCGCCGACGCCGCCGCCGCCACCACCACCACCACCGCCGCCGCCGCCGCCACCACCACCACCACCACCACCACCACTCCTACTACTCTGCTTCGCTCGTCCTATACTTGCTAGAGCTGCTTCTGCTGCTGCTCTTGCCAGTGCCGCGCCCAGCATGGCCACTAGCTCATCAAGCAGGAGGCAGCAGAAGCCGATGTGAAGATGCGTGAAGCATAGAACGTTTGCCGGCAAGGACAGCACCACCATCCGTACCTGACTGTGAGAAGGAGGACTGGTTTTTCTGCAATGTGGGGTTCGGCTTGGAGGCTACTGGAAGCCACCAAGGCGCCTCAGACTATAGGGTTTGGCCAATTTGACAGGATTTGGTGAAGTTTCCTGTGCACCTTGTTGCTGCATGTTTCCGTTAGGTTGCCTGTCATGCTGAAGCTTTTGAAGAGACGTCCGGTCTTTGTTGTGCAAGAAGGCCAGGCCAACCATGGGACATTCGTCTTCGAAGAGAAGACAGAATGCCACTTGATGAAGTCTTGATCAAAAGCATGGCAGGGGTTGCAAAGCTGAAGAAAAATGCGCATGCGTACGCTGCTCAGGCACTGCACCCTTCAGACGAGCGCGGCGAGTTGTGCCAGGATGCCAGTTCGCCTGCAGGTGGCTGCAGAGGAGAAGGAGGCATGTAAGGATTAAGCATCATACCATGGCCACAGCAGCTTACAGCAGCTTTGAGGCGCTGAGTTCAAAAGCCCCGGTGACATGCGTGCATTGTGCACGACTGCGGAAGGCGATGCTGTGCCTGCACCTCCCGTCAGACCGAAATCTGATGCACGATGCCTTACAGAGCTGGGGAGAGCAAAGCACCACGGCATGCTTGATTTTAACGATATGTCAGCTTCTACACTGCATGAACAAACTCCTGAACAGCTGCCTTCTCAGGACCCGCAACGGACATCTCTCCTCAGATGATGAAGCCTACCAGATCCAAGCTGCCCATCCATCAAAGATGCCTTGTGCTGCCTCGATTCCGGCTTTCGTTGTTGCACTGCGACCTGTGTGAAGCGGTGCAAAGGGCGTTCCACACCGGCTCATGGAAAACCGGCAGCATGCAAAGCACAATTGCTAGACAAGGTTGCAGCAAAAGCAAGTGGGTTTGTCACAAAACTTTTCGCCACGTGTTGCAGTAAGATGCAGCAGGGCAACTATACTATGTATCCTTTGTTGTTCATTGTTTTGCAAAAATGTCTTCAGATGCAGGCTGTGTAGGCAAGAAGATTAGAACAAATGGCAATGCTCGCAGTGCAGTGCACATTCTCAAGCAGATGTCTTATGCGCTGCACGGAAGTCTTGCCTTTGCTCGATGGTGGGCATGCCACGCATGCCTCCACAGCCTGGCAAGGCACACTGCCACTTTGCGTATTGAAATCGCATAAGCCGGCCTTGCTCAATGCTGAAGGGTTCTGCCTGATGCAATCACAGGGAAGAGTGTGTGCTGCCAGTGCAGGGCATCTTGCAATGCCCTTCCCCTGCAAAGGAGACCTGGCGAGCGTTCATTTTCGTATACATCGTGCTGCTTATTTGCTGCCTCTATGTTGGCAGTCTCTACTATGGCACGAAGGAGCTCGCCAGTGTAGGGGTGTATCTAAAGCAGGCTGTGCAATATTCTTACCCAGCCGGAACCGCGAGTGCCGGCACGAGTCCAAAAGAGCAGGACTGGGTGGTCCATTCTGAGGAAGAGCTGCTGCAAGCGCTTCGGCAGGTAGCTGAAGTGTACCCAGTAGATGCCATGTGCGGGTCCCAACACATGTTCTCAATACAGGCCGTGTTTGTGAAGCCAGCGCAGTGAAGAAGAGTAAGGCGAGCGTGTTGCATCCCCTCTTCAACACCGAGGACGTGCAGAGGGAATGTTGCACGCGGCTTTTGTATTGCTACATCAGCCCACTCGTAGACAGCGCAATGGTGCTGCATGCCCCCGTGGCTTCTACACCTGATCCATTCATGGTAGCCTTCTGAATTAAGCTTGCTTGTGACAAGGAGCACTTCGCACCCGAGTACTGGCAGCCTGCTATGCAGCAGCCCAGCCAGCCTTTGCTTATAGAGCACATGTTCTTGAAGCAGTGCCGGCCGAGAAAATTCAGTAACACTTGTCCCCTGCAAGGGACCCGATGGGGACTCCTCGAAGAGCAAGGGTTTGCAGCGTTTGCAGCATCCTGCCACATGTGTACAGCAGATAAAGCGCTAGCGCATGCAAGAGGATGCCTGTGCTTTCAGCAAGCACAGGCAAAAGGACCGCCTGGATGCACTGACAGCTGCCACGCACGCAACAGCTCATGCCCTCCAGAGCATTGGCGTGCCTGCCTTCCTGGAATCTGCTGGTTTGACACTTGTTCAGTTTCTGTTGCCTCAGCAACTAACGAGAGCCCGGGTTCCAAATGATGTGAAGACCAAGCGCTGTGAGCTTTGCTTTTTGTTCCGCCTCCTTGCTGTTCGCCCGAAAGTTTATTTGGCAGGGGCTTTGCGTATGGTGGGTGTCATGAGTCGCGCCACTAAGAGCCAAGAGCTACCAAACCTTTGCACATGGATAAGGATTGGATGGCTGCGCCACAATCGATCGCAGTTGCCTTGGGATTCTGATGGTGACCTTGGTATCCTAGAAGCAGCTCCTTGTCTCGATGATGGATTGCAATTCAGAGCCCTTACCTTTGCTACAAGTCCTTCAGCCTTAGGAGGCAATAACTAAATGCTGTATGCAGAGAAGCGAGACAAGATTCTCACTGTTTGGGATGCTGGCAAAGGGCTGCGGGCAATCTGTGCCGTTCGCAGATATTTGAAAAGCAAAAACAACAAGCAACAACTTGTTCTTGGGATGGAGTGGCCTAATGGCCAGGACTGCATCAATGCTGGTGCCAACAAGGCTGGAAAATATACAGTTGGGGTCGTTCCCAAGCCCAGTCTGTTGTGTTCTGACTTTTGGTGCAGGAGGCCCTCCGCAAAGCAGTCCGAGAAGACCTGGTGGTGCTCAAATTTGCTTGTGTTTGCGAAGAGGCCAGGGCTACAAAGGCTTTTGCTGTGATGCAAAAACTAACTAGTGGCCAGCCGGAGCTGCGATGTACGTCATTTTCTCTGGGCAGCCAACAAACAAGACAGGACTGCAGCGGCGACAACAAGCGCATGGTCGGCCGAGTTGCAGACCGCAAAACTGGCGTAATGTGCTCAGAGGCGATGTCCGTCTTATGCAACTTGAATCTGGCGGTGCAAGTCTTGACTGAATGTAGTGCAAGTTGGGGTCACTCGTCATCACCACGGTATGTCCTGCATAGCTTTGCACATTGGGCTCTGCAATGCTCTGCATATCGCGGATCACCTGTTGGTGCTGACGTCATTGATCCAGACTTCATGCACGTACAGTATCTTGTCCCGGAGTTCGCCCGCCGGAGCAACCCGAAGATGCTAGCAGACGTAATCACACCATATCACACTTGATCTGAGCCTAATTAAAGTACGTGTCCACCTCCTTGGTGCGCTGGGATGCGCGTGGTTTTCCAGAGAAAAGAGCAAGTGGCACGCATTGAATGACAATCATGTTCTCATTCGGGCGCCAGGCGTGCGTAACAAAAGTGATGCGTACGGGCAGACCAAAGCTTATCCAAGACTGGCGGTGCTTCCTGAATGATGCAGCGAGTCAGGTTGATCTCATGGCTTCTCAAGCATAAAGTTACTGCTCCATTGGTTTGCGGCTCCCAGGTTTGCATTGATGTTTTTGCCTACGCACCGGTCAAGAAGACTCGGGCCTGGCAAAAGGACAGAATTTCTGCCGGATGCTCGAGCCGTCTCACAGTCTTTCAGAGGGAAGAGGCACTTAAGCCATGCAGTACATGCAGAGGAGCAAAGATACTCCGATATTGAATGGTGGGAGAGAGTCAACGACCATGCGGACTTTACGTTGCTCGGACCCAAAGAATTACAAGGTGTGCGTTTCACCTCGCAGATGCGACGGGTGTCAACGCCGTCCTTGCATTTTGCGTGTTGCCATGACTGGTATTGGTGGTGGTGGTGGTGGTGGTGGTGGTGGTGGTGGTGGTGGAAGGGGTGGGTGGTGGAAGGGGTGGTGGAAGGGGTGGTGGTGGTGGCGGTGGGGGTGGCGGTGGGGGTGGCGGCGGTGGGTGGCGGGTGCAGCGGAGCCCGACGTGCTTTTGCTTGTGGGTGCTTACGGTATGGGCTGGTGGTCAAGACTGAATCTTTGTGAGGAGCGGGGGTTGTTTCATCATGCTGCTGCAGACGGAATGGAGACTAAGGGTATGGTGATACTTTGCAGCGTGGGCACGTAGGTAAGTCCCTCCATGCAGGGTTCGCAGGGAAAATGCTCGGAGAAGTGGACGCAAGCATTAGCTCGAACTTCGCTCGCTGGAGACTGCAGTCAGGTTGGTGTGAGCGAGATGGTCACTCGGATCTTACCGAGTAATGGATCATGGAACACATCGAGATGTGAATGTGGAACTCTGCAACCCTGTTGTTGGCCTGCAACTTCACCCTGAGATCATGTTAAAGACATGCAATTGGGCGACGGGCTGTCTGAAGGTGTTGTCGGGGCATGCTGATGACGGGGTTGGTGCGAGGCAGGTCAGACCAAATGTCGCAGAATTAAAGCTTGGCATTGCTTGGGCGGGAGTGTTGCGGCCAGTAAAAGAGAATTTGGAGCTGGTTCTGTCGTTGCTCTGCCGCTGCATGGATTCCTTGGAGACGAATGAAGACCGTGCCAAAAAGTGCAGCTTGTGGAGTCTTTGTTCCAACTCGACTATTGCCATCAGAAGAATGACGAGGTACAGCTATAGGCGTCATTGAGAAGTCGATGCAGCTTACAGAAGCAAGCATGAGCAAGTGCAGCTGGCTTCAGCACGCTGTAGCATGCATCACACAACAGCTGTAACATCAAGGGCTTGTGCCAGGAGTCCAGGTCAAAGGCTGGGTTATGTGCCATTGTGCGTTTTCATCACTTGTCTAGCATTAGTCATCACCAAGCACTGAACAACTCCCAGGAACAAACATGGGCACCCTCCTTAATTTTACTCGTGGCTACCCCCGGCAGAAGCCAGGTTTCCCAAAGACACCTTGCTACCGCTGCAGCAAGACTTCTTTGCTGGAACGCTGTGGCCTGGCTTGCCTTGGGTCCGTGTTTGGTTACCTTCCGAGAGCAATGCTGGTATTGAGCGTCTTACGTGCTTGACCATACTTGGCGATGGAATTCATCTTTGACGACCTGCTTCCTTTCCATATGTGCTGGGCAACCTAACTTGAGCAAGTCCTGACGTCGCCTGAGCAGCATGCGCCGTGTGCGCCGTGCTCAGGATGAACCTTCCTGCAAAGCCCA